CAAGCTTAGCAAAGCACAGGGACCACGGTTCAATCCCCCAGCACCACATGCCAGCCAGCCCCGCCCCCTGGTGGGCTGAGCTGGCCACACACACACACAAATAAATAAAATTAAAAAAAAAAGAATATGGGAGAATGTCCACAGGTTTTGGCACCAATTTACATAAAAGACTTGAGCATCTTTAGATTTTGGGGTGTGTCTGTATCAGGGCCAATCTCTGTGGATACTAAACTAAGACTATCAATGTTTGAAAACAGTCTTGCCATGTAGCCCAGGTAGCCTGGAACTTGCCTTGAGCTTTCTGCCTCAACTTCTCTGGTCTGGGACGACAGGTGTGCACCACAAACCTGGCACCACAGTATTTAAAGGACCCCAGACTAAAAGTGAGAAAATTAGGGTCTTTCAAGGTTTAGCTAACAAGATCACAACTGATAAAACCTGTTGGTGCCAGGTTCCAGGGCCCTGGAAACCACTGTGCAATCCAACCTCTCCACTTTGTGCACAGCTCTTTCTCTGAGGCAAGAATTAGGGCCTTTCCAGTTTTGGGTCACACATGCCAAGTGCAAAACTGGCCTTGAAGGGACCTCACAAACATTTTCTCAAAACATGCGGAGGGGAGTAATCCCCAGCAACTTCTGTAACTATCTGCTTCTATGTTGCAGACTGACTAGAAGGCTGACTTTCAATAAGTACTTGTTACTAATTTGTAACAATGATCACAGTCAAGGCCCTGAAATTTTCTACTTTCTAGGTACTCTGATCAGTTCTTTATGTGCCCCAGTGTACAAAACTGTTGGGTGACAGTTTTGACTACCATGGGTTTACAGATAATGAAACTCGGGCATGCGGAAGCTAAGAAACTGACCCAAGGACATACAGCTCCTCCAAGGAACACCAAGAACCTTCCACAGGCAATTTGCCTCCAGAGCTTGCACTCTAGTGCCCTGGACCCTGAAGAGATCAGCAAGCAGGCACTGGCCCTCTAGAGCTGATCCCCAAATAGAGGACAGTCACTAACTTGTACTGCTGCCCCAGGTGTCCCCTATTCCCTCACAGGACTACTATAATGAGGAACAAATCAGCTAACAGCTGGGAAGCACTCAACAGGAAGCTTAATTCACAGCCAGTACTGGGAAAGAGCTTGAATTTTCTCATTAAACATCTATACTGCTCTTTGTCACGTGCCAGGGACCTGAAAATAAAGTAGACACAGTAATCATTCCACCTCAGCAACTAATGGACACAAAAATAAGCAAATGAAGCTTTGTCAGCAGCCTGAAGGCCTCTGGGTGCTCCACTGGAGGAATAGAGTGCTGGAAGATGTACAGGAGGAGGAATCCTGTTGGGAGCATGATCAGAGAAAAAGACAAGAGGCTTGGGAGAATGACAGAAATTCCTGACCACGGTCCAGGAAGCAGTTGTGGGGGGACTACTCTGGAAGGTACAAGTTATAGTTACCTCAGGGCAAGGGCCACCCCAGTGAAGGACTTTCTCATATGTAAAGGGGATCAATAAACTGTCCCCAGAACATGAAAAGTGAGGTAACATGCTACAGCACACATTACGAGGTCTAACAATACACTTAGCACACACTACCCACTCAACATAAACAGCTATCACTAAGAGGAAGGATGCTGGAGCCACAGCTTAGGTTCAAATTCTGCCACTTTCCTTCCCACATGACCCTGGCCCTCAACTTCATCTCAGATGAGGGACTAATATCCTCCTCACAAAGCTGCTGTGAGGAATGAGAGTTTGTAAGTGTAGAGCCAACCTGTGCACAACAAACATGAAAGTATATACTATGATACACACTGTTGAGGTACAAGGCCCAGAGGGGATTAGCTACCTTTTGCACGCCACACAGCAAGTGGGAAGCGCATCATCAATGAAACTCAAGCCTGCCCAGCCACTTACCAGCGGCTCCAAGTCCGACAAACTCGCATGCAGACACACAGCTCTCGGGGCCCAAGGTGCTGGAAGACACGAAGCCAGGCAGCCCGGGGCAGAGGGTGGTCGGATCCAGCAGCCAAAGGCAGCGTGTCAGGCTCAGGGCTTCGAGGAGGGGGGCGTACCACATGCCGCTCCAGCTGTGGTGGCCGGGGTGGTGGAGCCGGGCCCAAGGGCCAGCTGAGCAAGGGTCCCCCACTGCCAGGGCGCACAGCCCGCCGCCCCCCACGGTTCTCTTTTTCGCCAGAGCTGCCCCGGGCTGGCCGTCGCCCATTCCGGGCCTCGCCAGGAGCCTCATCCTCACTCAGCGATGTGCCTGATGAATCGGAGTCCGAGTCTGAGTCCGAAGAGGATGATGATGTGTCAGGCACCCGCTCCAGCAGCTGGCACATCCGCTTAAAACGTTCCAGCTTTTCTCTCTGGGGCGACGGGGACGGCACTGCTGGGCCCTCAGCAGAAGCCAAAGGCGGCTTTGGTTTCTGCAAAGAGACAGGATGAGGCTGTTCTAGGGCCTAGGACCCACTTTCCTACCCAACCCCCTCACCCACCCACGAGGAGTGACCAGGAGAAGAACAGCCCAAGGGACAGGCCTGAGTTCCACACTGCTCCTAAACAATGTGAGACTCTGGCCATTTCTAGACTTCAGTTTCCTTATCTGGACTATGAAGGTGCCAATTCCAAGGATTTAGAAGTTTATAGCTTTTAATGGCCTGCAAACTTCCCAAAACAGACAGGCACAAAGAAAAGTTTGGAGTGCTGGCTTGCCTACCATGACTGGCCTTGGGAAGCTACAGCTTCATCACTGTGACATGCAAAGACTGCAGCACACCATTCTCAGCGCCTGCTCCACAGCTCGAGAGTAACCTGATCATCCGGCCCCGTGTGCAGCACTAGATCTCACTGACTCATTAAGCCCTTGCAGTACCGTGTACCAGCAACGTGGGCCACTCTTCTTAAACACAGGAAACTAGGGTGCCAATAGACTAAATTACTTGAGCAAAGTTACACAACAAGCAGCTAGACCCTTGTATTTAGTCAGTGCATCTGGCTTGGTCATGTGACCCTGCACAATTCTCCTAACCTTGCTGGGCCTCATTTCTCTTGAATCTAGATAAACATTATAATTTACAAATCTTGGGCCAGAGAGATGGCTCAATAAAATAAGTGCTTCCCCAGCAAGCGCAAGGGTCTGAGTTCAATACCTGGTTCCGCCAAAATAAATAAATACAGAAATATATATATACATATATATACATATACATATATATATATATATATATACACACATATATATATACACACACACACAAATTTCTTTCTCATTGATTTAGGCAAGTTATGGTACACAGCTTCATCTCCATTTTACAGATGAGGAAACTGAGGTTCAGAACAGCTGACCTGCTACCAAGATCAAACAAAACAGTAGTTGGACAGGAATCTGAACTCAGTTCTTTCCCCTTTAAAGCTTGGAGAGATGAAGCAAAAGGGCTAGATCACATCCTAGGTATTCTTGGGAGGTAAGAGGTTCTTGTGGCCTGGACTTAACCCATTCTCCCACCCAACTCTTCCCAGGGGTCCAGACACCTATGGGGAATCACATGGGGCTAGAATAGGAAAAGGGGAGCAGGAGTGAACAGAGCTTAATCACCATGGAGGGTGGGGTAAGGAAAGGTGGGAGGGGGAGGGAGGAGGTCCCTGGCACACCTCCCAGCTCTCGGGAGGGAGCCCAGGGTGGCAGGACGAGAACGCCTGGCTTGGATTCAGAACCCTGGGGGGCAGAAGGCCTGGGCCGCCTGGGTCCGATCCTCGGAGGAGGCAGGCGTCTCCACCCACCTTCTTCAGGTGCCTCTCTCTGCCTCCTTTCACCTACCAGAGCAAGAGGGAGATATGGGGGAAGGGACAGACCCCATTAGGCCCTCAATGCCTATAGTGCCAAAATCCATGCCCTCTTAAGACTACAAATCCCAGAAGCCCCCATCCCAGGAAGAACTCTGAGCATGCTCACCTTACAATCAGTGTCTTGGCTTACTGAGCATGCTCTCATCTCCTTTCATCGCCCTCAGGCTTTCCAACCCCTCCCTCCACTGTTGCAGTTTGAGCATGCTCTCTTCTTCCTCCCTAACCCACCCAGGCAGGGCTCCTAGGACTTACTGGCCTATACCAGTTCCCCCTCATCTGTATTTCTTCACAGCAAGCATGCCCCAACCCTGAACTACATGTCCCAACAACCCCTAGAGAAACTCAAGGAGGCTGCTTCCCAGCCCACCCACAGCAGAGGGAGGACTACAGCTCCCAGAATCCCTTTAGGTTAAACTTAGCGAGCATGTCTCATGGCTCACCTTTTTTCTTGGGGTAGGGGGCTCATTCCCTGCCTCCCTCTCCTTTCGTTTGGGGGGCCCAGGCATGTCCTCAGGAGGGGGGCCAGCAGGTAGAGGGCCTTTGCGCCTGGGTGGAGGTGGTGGAAGCGGCAGCTCCTCTGTCAGCTTCCATCCACTCCCTAGGCTGGCACCCTCCTCGCCATTGTCAGCCCTGCGGCGGCCAGGCCCCTCACCTGAATCCTGGGGAGAGGAAAGCTAGAGGTGAGGTCCTGCCTACCTTCCCAACCCTCTACCTACCCAGAAGGCAGAACTCCACCCAGCTCTGCCCCTACCTTGCTGGTGCGGCCTTCCTGGGTACAGCGAGGGCACTCCCAACAGTTGGGGATCTCAGCATTGATGACACCCTCAGCTTTCCCCATCTGCAGGCAAGAGTAGGGAATGGATGTGGGGGATCACAGTAAACTTAAGGAGAATGTGGCCCACCTCCTTGCTCTCTGACAACCTGCCCCAGCCCAAACTCCAAGGTGCCCAGAAGTATCACCTTCAGGCAGCCAGGGTGGACGATCTCATTGCAGATAGTACACTCCATGAGGCTCAAACCAAATTTCTCTTCCTCTCCTTCCACTGTGTCCTCCTTCCCAGCCTCCCCACACAAGAGGCACACAGCTGTGTGTGGGAGCACGGGCTGTTGGGGGAGAAGGGACACCAGGGACCTCAAGATCAAACAACAGGGGAAACAAACCCTTCCCGGAACCCTGGCCATCTGCTTGAGATTCAGAACCCGTAAGCAAAGCTGAGTAAAATCCTGAATGTTTCTTTTGGCTGTATGATTTCCCAGCCACTGATTAAACCTCAAGTTTCTGCTTCTGCATCTGTCAAATGGGGCTAGGAAGCGCCCTATAAAGACTGTTTTAAGAAAAACACTGTGTGGAAGGCACTCGATACATACTCATTACTATCGCAGCTGTGATTGTTACAGTTAGATCCAAGGCCAGTGTGACCCTGAAATTAAAGTTAACTTTAGGAAAAGAAAATATGATAACATTCAGAGAAAGTTGGAGAAGATGCAGCAACAGCTTGGGGGGATTCTGATATTGCTCAAGCAGCAGCCTAAGGGTGGCTCTGGATCCTACAGTGAATCCAGTTTTGGCAAAGTTCCTGAGAACACCAGCAACTGCTTGATCCTGGGAAACACAGGAGCAGTCTTCAGATAATGAGACTTTGGGGAGGACAGTGGTGATATGGAACTATGTGAGGGATGCTGAAGGCTGTAAGACAAGATCAAGAAAGAGCACACAGAGAAAGAAGAAACAGAAAGTGAGGCAAGGGGTTGGGAGGCAGAGGAGAGGTGCAATAGGGTGAAAAGTCCAAACCAGGAAAGAGTGGCAGGAGGAAGAGGGAGGGAGGTGGTGCTGGGGAGTGGGGGATGCAGGATGCAGCTGGCTCCTCATGGCTGTCACAGCCTGGGGCAGCTCTCAGAAGCCTGGGGCCTCTCAAAATCTAAGGAAGGCAAGGAGGAAGCCCACATTTCCCTCATACCTACTGTGTACTGGGCCTTGTGGAATGTGTTTAATCTTTACAATTCAGCAAAAGAATTTTTTTTTTTTTTTTAAAGACAGGATCTCGCCATGTAGCCCAGGATGGCTTCAAACTTGCAGTGATCCTCCTGCCTCAGCCTCCTGAGTGCTGGGATTGCAGGCGTCACCACGCCCAGGAGCAAAGAAAATATTTTAGACCAGCATGGTATTACATCCCTGTCATCCCAGCACTTGGGAGACTGAGGCAGGATTGTTGTGAGTTGGAGACCAGCCCCGCCTATAAAGTGAGCTCAAAAGCCAGCCTGAATTGCACAGTAAGACCTTGTCTCAAAAATGCAAGAAAGGGGCTGGGAAGATGGCTCAGTAGAATAAGCGCTTCCCTGGAAAGCTCAAGGACCTGAGTTCAATGCCTAGTTCTGCCAAAAAAAAAAAGAAAAAAAAAAAAGGCCGGGGAGATGGGTCAGTGGAATAAGCACTTCCCTGGTAAGCGCAGAGGTCGGAGTTCAATCCCCAGTTCCGCAAAAAAAAAAAAAAAAAAGTACATATAGTTAATATTCTGTAGAAGTGTCTTCTTCTGCCAAAGGTAAGCACAAAAGTTCTCTCTGTTGATCCAGTATACAAGCACGTCCATACTGGCATCCACTGGCACACACATACACAAATGTATACACAACATATAGACCCTCTGAAAATTGCCTCTATTCTACTGGACAAAATGACCAAGAAACCAACAAAAAGAATACTAATAGCTAGAATGATACAATTTACAGAGGAAAATATAAAGCAAGTTTAAACTAACATATTTTAAGATATGCATATTTTGGCTTGCATAAAACATTTTATAAAATTTCTGCAGTAATGAAATTTTCAGAAATCCTAACAGCCAAAGAATATATTTTCATATTCAGAATCAGTATTCCACATGATCACTTAGAATTGCAAATGGGAAACTGGAAAATGCTTCAGAAAATTGACAGATTTATTTCTTGTTCCAGGGGGGTTAATATCAATCATTAACTACACAGTGAACAATGTTAGAATTACAAATTTCATTTGTAATTTTAATAACAGCTGAGGTACACCTTGGTATTCCTCTGCTTGGGTGAAAGGAAAGAAAGCAGTAATAACTTTTTCATAGATTATTAATCAAAGTGATACTGCTGCCCTGGAGCACCAAAGCATATCAGTGGGTCAGTGGCTAAAACAACCAGCATTCTATAGAGAGTTTGCAAATTATAAGTGCCTTAGTTACTTTTCTCATTGCTGAGACAAAATATCCAACACTCACATGTTAAAAATGGATAAGTTTGTTTTGCCTCAGTTTGCAGTGGTTTCAGTCCATAGTCAGCTGGCTCCAAGGAAGGGTAGCAAGGCAGAGGAGCATCACAGAGGAGAAACAGTCCATGGCAGAGCAGACAAGAAGTAACAAGCAGCAGCAGCAAGCCTCCTTCCCCTTTCTCCATCCATCTCCATTTGGGTGGTGCCACCCATACCCAAGATGGAGCTTCTG